TGATTAATTTGAAAATTAATTTTGTCTCTGAATAATTTCTAATAACACTTCCATTTATTTTATCTGTGCTCAAAAACTTCACTGATAATCATTTATTTCACTTTATATTTAAAATATATGTTACAATTTACTATTATTATTATTACTATTACTTATTAGTACTCAATTTTAAAGGGAAAAATTTAAATTTAAAGTTGATATTTTATTTTTAAGAAGTTTTTTTCAATTTTAAAAATTTCTTAAATCATTTTTTTTTTAATATTTTAATAATTATTCTAAGTTGTGCTGACAATATTATTACCAATATTTTGATTATGAAGCAAAGAGAAAGAGAAAGATTGTTAGAGGTGATTAATTTTATTCTCGAAAAGAACTGATCTCGAAAAAAAAAAGGCCATTAGATAGGATAAAAGGCTTAAAGATAAAGTAAAGTTCAAGATAAACACTAAAATAAAAAAGTGATAGAAGTTGTAATGCTCTTCTCTTGTCCACTCATTTAACTCATCTACTGTCCACTTGTTCAGCCCTTCTCTTGTCCACTCATTTAACCCTCTCTTGTCCATTCGTTTAGTTCTTCCCTTGTCCACTCGTTAACCCTTTTCTTGTCCACTCATTTAACCCTCTCTTGTCCACTTGCTTAACCTTTCTCTTGTCCACTCACTTAACAACTGATGCTTTTGTCTTGTTATCAGTGACCTTTACAATATAGTGCTAACCTCTTTTATGTTAGCTCCTTTTTAGCTATAACTCAAATAATCTTTTTATTTACATAATATCTTTACGGACTTTTCTCAATGTATATGTATGATTCAAAGAAGAAGAAAATGAATAATAGTTAGAGAATTTTGTAGAGAATTAGACAACACAAATGATGAATGATAAATTTCCTGAAGATAGTTTGATGGTTTTACGACCACCGGAAAAGTAAATAGCGCGACATCCTATTTCCAGAATGATCCATATTACTCCTTCTTCTCCTTCTTTTCTTTCATCAGATTCTTTTGTCTATGATCGTTCTATCCTATTCATAACTATTATTATTATTATTATTACTAATATTATTAATAATATCATTATTACCATCATTATTAATATTATTATCATTACTAGTATTATTGTTATTATCATCATCATTATTATTATTGTATTATTATTATCATTACTATTATTATTGTTATTATTATCATCATTGTTATTATTGTGTCATTATTATCATTACTAGTATTATTGTTATTATCATCATTGTTATTATTGTGTCATTATTATCATTACTAGTATTATTGTTATTATCATCATCATTGTTATTATTAATAATATTATTATCACTATTATTATCATTACTATCACTGTTGTTATTATTATCATCATTATTATTATTATCATTATATTGGTTCTTTCTAACATTCCTCATACTACTCATTTATCGTTTCCAACTTGAACATTTCTTATTTAAGGATTAATTTCAAATGTATTTCATCAACACTGAAATTTTTCAAATTTAAAAAATAAAAGTTTTTTTTTTTCTGATATATTAAATCTTTTGTTTTTTGCAAGAAAGAATTTTTTGTTTAAATTTTATTAAAATTTTAACAAAAAAAAAAAAAAAAATTTTAGCATAATAATAAGTATAATTACAAGTATTAAGATGAGGAAGATTAGATGAAATAGTAGTCTTATATGCATTGTTTATTTGTATTATTTCTGTCACCAGATAGATACTTTATGGCTTTTAACAACTTTTCGTCTTCTTTACGGTTATTATTTCCTGATGATATCATTATATTTCTCATAGTATACTCTTCTCATTCGTCTTTTTTTTTCTTCTAAATATAATCTGTCACATTATACTTTCCGGATTTTAAGAAAAAGATTAATGATCGTAAACCAAATATAGCTTTTTTTTTTTTTTTTTTTTTAAATTTTATTTCACTGAGAAGGCATTTTTTTTTTTTTTTGGTTATGATATGATTTCATCGGCAATCACAATTGCTTCAGTTTGTCAGTGCTGTTTTATCGTTTAATGGATATGCCGGAAAAGGAAGCCATCAATTCAGGCTGACCTTGAGTAGTATGATGCATGCATGCACGCATGCATGCATTTATGTTAAGGTACTTCAAGTTAGATGATGCATGTGGTAAAAGTTTTATGGTATAGAAATGGCACATTCAAAATATAACAATTTTGAAATAATTATACTCAAAATTATGGGTTCTACTGTTTCGATGTAACTATGCATGAAATTCGGGGAAAATATACCGGAAGATGAGTGATAAATCAAAATATAACAATTTGATGGTGGTGTTACATTCAAATTTCGAAATATACCGGTTTAATTTAAGAACGGTTAAATTCCGGAATATATCTCAACGTGTAGTCCCATTTTTAGTGATATTTAAAGTATTACATTAAAATCAATTTTTTTTTTTGCTTTTTAATTTATTTTTTCATTAATTATTGAACAATTTAGTATATTTATTAATCTCCGCTTTTTTTCATATCAAATTTGAATTTTTTTTTCCTTTTTTTGTCTGTGAAAATTTCAAACATTTAAATTAATTAATTATTTTACAAACTTTTCCCTATCACTGTACTATTTTATTAATTATTATCATTTGTTAACATAAGTGATTGTAATTTATATCTTCGATTTAATCCATTTAATGATTTTTAATCATGATTAAAATAAATTTTTTGCTGAGATAATATTTTCACTATTTTATTGCTGAAAATAAATGCTTAAAATTGACCTTTAGCCTTGGAAATAAGCAAAATAGTAAAAATTTTGGTTTAAATTAGCATAGCTAAAATGAAATTTCCATTTCGGTGAAGTGGAAAATCAAATAGTGAAGAGATAATTATGCATTCAACCATCATTATTTGTAATTATAATTATTTTTGCAATATTTGCTTTTTTTTTTTCGGATGAAAGTTTTCCTTTCGCGGTGTCATATTCCCGCTTATTGATTTTGCCGCGGAGTCATGCTGATACTAATTTCTTTTATCTAATATTACAGACCAATAATTAATATACAAATTTGTTTGCTGAAAGAAAAAACGAAAAAAAAAAAACTGATGCTATCTAATTTCCACTCAGTTTTAATCATTTCCAATATATTCTTATTAATTAATATCAATAAGTAAATGAATTACTGTTATTATTATTATTATTATTTGTTGATAATAAAATGAAAAAAATAAAAGAGAAAATTATAAAAAGTTTTTATGGTTTAATTTAATTCCATGTTTTTCATCTCAAAAAAAAAAAATGATGAAAAGTCATTGAGTTAATTTTATAACAAATATTTTATTCTTCCTTCAACCATCCAATAAAGGCATTTTACTTTTGTTTTCTCTTTGATATTTTTCATTAGATTTTATCTGACAAAAAAAGAAGAAAAAAAATTGATCTACGAATAATTAATTAAGATCTATGCCTTTTTTTTTTCTTTTAGTATTAATTTTATGAATAATTTTTTTGAAATAATTTTTTAGATGAAGCTAGTAATTAAATCAGATACAAGCTGAATTGATCTGCTAAAATAATATTGCATTGTTTTTCGAAAGATCAATTTACTCTTTTGATCCACAAAATATTTGTTTTATTAAATTAGAGAAATAGGAATAATTAAAAATGCTTCAGTAATTTAAATATCTATTTAATTATATTTAATTTAAGATATACTTAACAGTGAGTTCCACATATATTTAATTACATTTAATTTAATTTAAGAAATATATTTACCTGTGAGTTCAATTTAGTGAAATTTTAGATTAATTAATTTCGGATTGCATCACTTCTAATTCTAAATTTTAGTCATCACTGTATTATTAATATAAAATTTTTATTGAAAAAAAATCAACCTCTTTAGGTAATTTAAAAAAATAAAAATAAAAAAAGAAATTTTTACAATATTCTTGTTGATCACAAATTTATAACTACCAACAGTGATAATAATAATAGCGATAACAATAATAATCATAATAATAATAACAATAATAGTGGTAATAATGTTATTAACAATGATGATAATAATAATAATAATAATTAACAATAAAAATGAAATAGTAATTATTATTGAAAAGAAAAAGAATGGAAATAGAAAATAGTAATTATTAATATCATTAAAATTTTCGCTATTACAATCGTTGTTATATCATTGATCGTTGATAAATTTTCCTTTGCAAATAAAATTCATTCCTTTTCTTTTTGCTGTATAAAAGAAAAATTTCAATCAAAAAAAAAAAAAAAAAAAAAAAATGAAATGAAATGCTATTTGAATTTTGAGTTTGTCATAGTTATCGTCAGCTTTTACACCTTTAGTTTTATTACTTCACATATAGAATTGATGGATTATGGGGCGGTAATGTATAATGGAATGAATGCATAAAGTGCTATATAAATGTTTATGGAATGAAAGAATTATGGGTGAGATGAATAAATGAGTTCAAATATTTTAAAAATTAATCTTTTAAATTTTAACTATTGTTTGATTTTTAAATTTTTTATGCCAATATTTAATAATTGTTGAGAAATGTTCGTTTTTCTTTTTTTATCTTTTATTCTAATAAATTTAATTATAGTAATATTGAACTATAATTATGAGATATTATTTTGGAATTTCTTCTTTTTCCACTTTTTTTTTTTGGATTTTTTATAGAAAAAAATATTATTTTTGGTTTTAATTTTTTTTTTCTTTCTCATTTTTTCTTTTTCATTTTTTTTTTTTATTTTATTATATTTTTCATTCTTTTTAGTAATGATTATTTACTATTTTATAACAAAAACTTTTTATGCTATTTATTTTGCAATGATAGATGCATTTTCAGTATTCTTTGATAATAATAATAACAATAACAATAACAATAGTAATAATAATAATAACAATAACAATAATAATAATAACAATAAAATAATAATAATTAATTTCATTATTCCCTCTTTCATTCTCTCTTTTTTTTCTTATCTTTAAACTAATATATTGTAAATTTTAAATTTCAGATGTACTACCAACGACAGTTATGCTTACATTGGTGGTTTTTCTCTCTAATTATTACTGTATTTGCTGATCGTTACGATTTTCAATATCCATCATCATCGTTATCATCATCATCATCGTTATCATCATCATCATCTTATCTGCGAAGGTTGTCTAACAGAGATGGCTTAACACGTGAACGTGATGGAATGCATCGAATTATGAGTTAGTTAATTTTATTTTTTTATTAATTTTGGCAACAAAAATCTTTTAATTTAAAATTTTAATAAACAATTTGCAACAGAAAGAAAGAAAGAAATAAACTATGAAACTAATAATTTATAATCAATAAATTTCTTTTTCTTTTTACTTTGTAATTTAATGAAATGTATTTAAAAGTGATAAAACTTCAGAGATTTTAGCAATTAGTTGATTAATTAGAAGTGATTCATTGTTTACAAACAATGGTAATTATAAAAAACTTCAAAAAAAAAAAAAAAAGATTTATTTGAATTAAAAGAAGTGTATTATTGAATTCAGTTAGTATTCTTCAAATGATTAAATTTAAATTATTATTAAAACTTAAATTAAATGATTAAATTTAAATTATCAACTAGTACTTAAATGTTTAGAGAAATGAATTAAAATAATAATTTTTACAGAAATTTATCATTATGATAATTTGACTGATTGTGAAAGTGCCTGTGAGATACCGTGTGGTACGACGTACGTAATCCGAAATGACGTCGATGAACGACGACAATTTATTTGTATGCAACGTAAAACACCTGTTGTTTCAGCATTTATTAATATTAGCACTACGGGCATTATTCCATTTATTTTAGCTGCTGCACTGGTACGTTTATTTATTTGTTTACTTTTTTTTTTTTTCTCTCTCAAAATATTTAAATTTGAATTGCTTAAAAAAAAATGTTGTAATATTCATAATAAAAGAAAAAAAAATTGATAAAATCAAAAAATTAAAAAACTAATTAAAGTTTGCTTAATTTATTTATATCAAAAAATTAGTTTGTTTTTTGTTTTTTTTGTAAAATATAATTCAAATAAAATTGTAATTGATAATTTGCATAAACTTATAAAACACATCAAATCAATCAATCATTTATTTTCAATACTCTAATGTATATATAATATTATTTATATAAAAATATTTCATCTTTTTAAATTAAATTTGAGTAATTAATTAATTTATTATTTATTTTTAAATTAATATATAGTTCAAATTATGATGCTTCGTACGCTAGATGTTCCAAATATTATGAAGTTTACTCTAATGTATGTATAATATTATGTAGCTATTAATACATAACTATCTTGTTTAATTTATTTTTGAGTAATTAATTAATTTGATTTATTATTTATTTTTAAATTAATATATAGTTCAAATTATGATGCTTCGTACGCCAGGTATTCCAGATATTATGCGGTTTATTGATAATAACATGTTGCTGCTGCATTCGTTGTGGTTGTCGACGAATGTGTCATTCCAGAAATTCGTCAAATGATCCGTTGGTGAATGGTGAATTCAGGGAGACGCTTGATTCAAAGGATATTGGTTATTTGAAGAAAGAAGCTGACAGGAAGATTATCACTGTGTAATTTAAATTTTTTGTTTTTGTTTTCTTTTTTGAAATTTTAAATGCTCAGTGTTGGTGGTATCGTTATTATACTGTAAAAGAAAATAAGTTAAATTGAATTATTATTATTATTATTTACTAATATTTACTAATGTAATTTAAATATTGTTTATTATTGATATCATTTTCTGCCGCAATTCTATTGATATTTCAATTTTGACTTAATTATATGATAATTAAATGATGAAAATATATGAATGTTATCTCGCTTTTTTTTTTAATTAGCTAGCAATTATTAAATTAACTTCAAAAAGTATTTTTATTCTTGGTGATTTATAAAATTCAAAAAAAAAAACATTGGAATTCCTAGTATTTCATTCTTTTTTTTTTTTTTTTTTAAACAAATTTATTATCAAATATTTTAATACTTTAGATGACCTCTTTGTGTCCATCCATTCAAGTCGTATACTTCATTTAAATGTATGTGAAGTTAATTAAGTGGTCATCCATCCGTGTCCATTTTTTCAAACATTACTTTGTCTTACTTATCAAAAAAAAAGTTATTACTAATTAATTGAGCAGAAATATGTTTTTTTCTTCTTTAATTTTTTCTTTTTTTATTTTAATTTATGAGAATATTACACAATATTTTGATTTAAATTAGTCTCAAATTTTTTAATATGAAATTTATTTGCATATTTTTCATTTACTCACTTATCATATTACTTTTTAATGTTAATCAGCAGTACTTATGCACTAATTAATTTGAGCGGCTTTGTCACTTACTTTTTTAATATGCATTGATCTCGAAGTTTCATCCGATGGCCAAGTTTAACACTTTGACTTTGACTTTGAGATAAATTCCAAACGATTAATCTTTTATAGTAACAAACAGTACTTTAATAAAAATATTTCCAATCATACAATTTTTTAATTTCACTTCAAAGTTTGATCCATCGAATGAACTTTTATTGTTTATTCTAACCTTTTATTCATTCATTTATATTACTTGCATTTTATTTACTTTTATTCATATTTTTTTTAATATTTGCCAAACTATGATGATGCATTAAGTATACGTTAAATCATTTCATACTTACAAATTTAAGTTTTGAACAGAAAAATTTCTAAGTTTAAAAACAAAAAAAAAGGATAAGAAAATAAAAGAAATTAATGAGAAATATGAATTAAAGTAATTTGTGGCTTTCGATGGAATTAAAAGTTATAATGCTAATATTATATTAAAATTCATTTTATTTTGTAAATTTTCTTCGGCATAAATTTGTATATTTTTTCAATATTAAAATTTATTTTTTTTTAAACTTTCAAAAAGTACAGTTTTTTTTTTTTTTAAAGAATTTTTTTCTGTTCTTTTATTTCTACAATTATTTTAGACAGCTTCTGACTAATAGAAAAAAGAAAAGGTTAAAGGTCATTGTTCATAAAAAAAAAAGTGTTATATAGCTTTCATCTGTTGTCGGCTTTGTTTTTTTTTTTTTTTTTTTTGCTAGCACTGTATAATTTCTGGCCATTAGGAATGGCACTTTTGAAAGTAATAAATAAAATGAAATATGATAAAGGTATTCATGAACTATTCTACTTATTCCCTCGAAATTATTTACAGCAAATATTTGTGTATGTCTATCAAATATATTCAACGTAAATGACGTACGTGATGTATAGGTATATGTGAATAAAAATTTATTGTATGAATGAGTAGTATAATAAGTATACTTTTCCATTCAAATTTACCTTTATAAGGAAAGGTGAGAATAATGATAGCACTGTAAATGAAGTTTGTATTATTAAAACTCATAACCGTATGTTTGCTTAAGATAAATTAACATTTCATAGTATCTAATTCAAATATTCTCAACCAGAAATGTAAATAAAATATTTCACTGCAATTTGTCATATCGATGAGAAATATGCAAATTATGGGAAATTCTATTTTATGGCATCAAGCAATTGCATTTATTTTTAGATTATAAAAAAAAAGGAAAGTAAATGTATGAATGGTAAATGTTAAATTTTATCGATAAAAATATTAGCAATGAATCAGTACAAGAAATATGATTGATGAATGAATTCAATGAGTTCTTTAAAGGAATTCAATTCTCGATTAAAAATTTCAAATTGTTTAAATATATACTCAAATAGATTAAGTAATGTCCAACTTAAGTATTGATGACTAGTTTTAATTAAAGTAATAATTTATAAGGAAAAAGATTGAAATATTAATAAAAACATTATTCACTTTATTTGACTATTTATTATTTTCTTTTTAGTTTGATCAGAGGAGTGCAAAAAAAAAAAAAAAATGATTTTCAATTATTTTTTCGAAAAGAAACAGATTTGTTACTATTCATAAAATTGATAATAAATTAGGTAAATAAAAAGGCAAAATTGTACACAAATGAAATAAAAAAAAAAAAAGTTATTATGTTTTAAAAAAAGTCAAAAAAATTAATTTTACAAAAAAAATAAATGAAAATATTATTCATTTTTGAATATGATTAATTCAAAAAAGCAAATAGAATTTAAGCAATGAACTTTTTTGGGAAATTATATATTTAAATATGAGTTCAAAAATTATGCAGCTAGAAGATATTTTTTCTTAATTTGACCTAAATTAAGTTTTTGGTGGAAATTTTTGGTGCCATAGTCTTAAATTCAAATCTGAGATTATTCAGTTACTTAATTATCACTGTATTTTCTTATCACTGTAGGACAATATCATTTATTGATAGGCAAATTGATTTCATTATATTTAAAATAGATTGATAATTTTATATACCTAAAATGGTTTTTAGTGAAAATTCTTTCGTTTTTTTTTTTTTTTTTTTAAATTTATTTTATTGTTTGCATGAAAGTTGTTTGATTAAGATTAGATCACTCAATTTATGATTCATTTATCTAACTTTAAGTTAGCTTATTTGATTATTTATTATTAACTTTTTTAGTTGACTAAAAAAGTATCCGAAGAAGTGAGTTTATTCAGTGAAATTTGATTTTGTTTTTTAATGAACTAAAATAAAAAATTAAGAAAATATTAAAATAAAAAATTATTTTTTAATAAACTAAAATTAAAAGTTGAAAACTTTAAATGACTGAATGTTTTTCCCCTACTCTTTTCAAAATACTTCTTCGCTACTTGAATAGTTAATCGTAAACATTCTAAAATTACAATATTTGTCTGCGAATATCATCCATCGTATAGCAGTAGTAGCAGCTCTGCCTTTCACGTACGTGAAGAAATATCTGCAAATGTATATGCAAAAGCAAAAAAAAAAAAAAAAAACATTCTTTAAAATAATAATTATTAATTTATGCTATCAAAATAATCATTATTAATTCATGCGGTCATTTGCTATCTATAGAAAACATAAAATGAAATAGTAATAATAATAAAATAACAAAATTTCAAAATTCTAATTTAAAAATAACTTCAATAATTGTTGAAGTGAATTACATTTCTCATTGAATTCTCATAAGAAAATTCCTGGGAAAAAATTTTCAATGATATCAATTTTTGATTTTGAATCTCAAAAAAGTGTTACAATTATCTGTTCGTAGTTAAAATGCTTATTTGAAATGATCCCTTTGTCTCGATTATCGGACATTTTCAGCTCTAAAATAATTGACAATAAGCGCTTCGGTCATGCTTGCAGCGCCTAATATGGTACTCATTTTTTCAGTTTCAGGAAGGACCATAAAATAATTCAGTTTTCATGATCAATTTTATATGTGTATCAGTGTTTTCCTGATAAGAAACGTGATTTTTTGATAACAAACGTGATTTCCTGGTAGAAAACGTGATTCCTTGATAAGAAACGTGATTTCCTGAAGGAAAACGTGATTTTTTTTGATAAGAAGCGTGATTTCTTAATAATAAACGTGATAAGAAACAAATTCATTGAGAGAAGCTAAACGATAAACGATACTTTTCCATTAATACTATCATTTGCTATCTTTAAGGAAAAAATAAACAATCATTGGTATACTATGGGTATATTTGATAAATTTTCCATTTCAATAAATCTGAAATTTCGAAGAATTCTTCTGATATCACAAAAAATTTTATGGTAAAATTATCTACTGCATACTACCAAAAAGAATTTTAAACAAATTTTGGTCATAGTTAAAAAATCTGTGAAAATTATAATGCATAAACAATAGCAATAATAATATAAATAATAATTATTTTTCCTTTACCATTTTTTTTTTTTTTTGAGCAAATTTTTTTCAATATTTTATTAAAGTATACTTTTAAGCTTAAAAGGAAATAATAATGAGGAATTTAATTAGTAAAATTTGAATTCAATTCAACACTTTTGCAAACTCTTCAAATTATCATCAAATTATGCAAATAAGTTCATCTCTAAACTATAAAAACTGACAATAATTTCAATTATATTTATTTTTAACTTTTTTTTTTCCTTTTGACTACAAAGTTTAGTTTTCTATTAAAAAATGTTTCGACGACTGAAGCAAAATGTTATGGTTAAGTTGGATATGGCAAAACAAACAGAGTTTGTTCAATTTTAAGACTTTTCTAGCTTCTAATCACTAAGATAAGATTATCAGTGACTTGAATTTAAAATAAATATTTCAATTATTTAGATATACTTAAATCATAATAAAAAGAAAGAACGATCACTCTAATTTTATTATCAGCTAGTTCTATGGTTATCAATTAACAAGTTAAAAGTATATAATTTTTGAAAAAAAAAAATTAAAGATTTACAAATATTACTGATAATCTACTTGTTATACTTTTAAAATCCAAAAATATTAATTTGCAAAAAATTACTAACAGCATACCTTTTTCTTACCTTCATTTTAATTATCACAAACTTTTAAATAGTTATATTTTTATTACTGCTATTATCGAATTAATCGAGTATGAGGCATTTATATGATAATTGCTACCACAAATACGTTTTAACCTTGCGTAAGTTACGTGAAATACGAAAAGAAACGGAACATATTTTACTTTATTTTAGATTCCCAAATGATGTTACTCGTTCCATTACTTTTTGCGAACGAAGCAAATCAGATGTTGCAGCAATTGTGAAAGCTGTTGAATCGATGATTTCAAATTTCAAAGCAACTGGTATGACACCTGCTGATTCAATAGCAAATATATGCAATGGTTTAGCTGCTAAAACCAAAAATAAAAAGGTAATGAAAGTTTTATTTAATATTTAATTTTGTAAAATATGAAAACAGCATGAAATCATAATAAACTGTCTTCACTTTCTCTCTCTCTCTCTGATTGTTTCCCTAAATTATATTTAATTATTTGCAGTTTAATAAAGTAATGAAAAATGTCGAAGAAGCATTGGAGGAAATTGCAAAAACAGAACGTTTAACAGCTAAACGAGTACGTAGAAGAAATTTTAATTGAAAAAAAAAAAAAGAAAAAAATGATATTATTATTGGCTGAATTTAATGTAAAATGCAAAAAAATCCATTAAATCATGAAGAACTTTTCATAATTTCAAAAATTACCAAATTATTTTAGCAATACTACTTGAATGATTTGATATGATACACTTTTCATTTTGTAATAATATTCTCTTTAAAATATTTATTTAAAAAATTCAAAGATAGAACATTCAAAAATAGAACATTCAAAAATTCAAATTTGCAATAATATTCTCTTCATTTAAAAAATTTCAAAAAGAGAGGTAAAATAGCTAAAACAAGAAATAAAACATGAGATTAGCTAATTTTATTTCTTACTTCTAATTTTCAAATATTTGGATTGCATTTTAGGTGGAATTAAAATTTATTGAATCTTGGTCAAAAACATGGCTTCATGGAAATCTGAAAATTTATCTCGATGATATCAATCAGTTGAAAAAGCGACGTCTTGATAAGGATGGCTTAGCTCAATCAGCTAACAAGTAAATTTCATTCTTTCATGCAATTATTTTGCAATTATTTAAAAAAAAAAAAGAAACATAAACAAAAACAAAAAAGAGAAATAATTCATTAATGTTTAGATTCAAATTTTATTCCATTTGATTCTTTAATCACTTACCCATTAACTAATATTTTACTAACTGCATAATTGATCATTGATTTATTGATCTTAAATGTATCGATCGATCGATCAACAGATCACATTTCTAGACATCCATATCATTGATCCTTAATGTATCGATCGATCGATCAACAGATCACATTTCTAGACATCCATATCATTGATCCTTAATGTATCGATCGGTCGATCGATCAACAGATCACATTTCTAGACATCCATATCATTGATCCTTAATGTATCGATCGATCGATCGATCGATCAACAGATCACATTTCTAGACATCCATATCATTGATCCTTAATGTATCGATCGATCGATCGATCGATCAACAGATCACATTTCTAGACATCCATATCATTAATCCTTAATGTATCGATCGATCGATCGATCAACAGATCACATTTCTAGACATCCAGATGATCAAACCAAACAACAAAAAAGTAAAGAAGCTGACACACTATACGAGGAACAATTAATGAAAGTTCGACAAAATATTCAAGAATTCACATCGCACTATTCGAGAACTGCAGAAGCGATACAAGAATTAATGAATATAATGGCAGAACATTTTGAAAAATGTGGAAATATTGTAGCTGATCATTTGAAAAATGCCAGTAATGCATGAAATTTCAAAAAGTTATACTTAACCTTGAATCTGTGATAAAATTTGATTGTCAAATTTATCTTATCAGTGTGCTATTTATTGTAGGAGGGAAAAAAAATGGAAAACTATGAAATATTAACATAATAAATAATTCTGAATTGAACTTTAGATTGCACTGAATGAAAATATAATTAATTAATTTGATATAAGATAAGTAATATTACTTGTAAAAAAAGTGAATTTTTTTCTTTATGAAATTTTTTTATAAAAAGTGAAAGAAAAAAATGTTTGGAAATTTGTTGGATGAATTACTTTACTCAATAAACGAACTCTTAAATGTTAGTAATTGAAATTTGCGATAAGTCATACAGCACTAACAGTTGAATTCAGTCCAGGAAAATGGATGAAATTGAATATTTGTAAATTAAAAACAGAAAAATAAGAAATGAGAAAAAAGCGAAAAATACAAAAAGGTAATTGAAAAAATGAATTTAGTTATTCCATAAACTTAAAAATCGATCAGAAAAAAAAAAAAAACAGAAAAAAAAATTACTGATTGAAAGTCAAACCGAAGTGATTGTTTGTGGCAAACTTATGGTTTGAATAAATTTGATCAAAAATTCAATTCTAATATAAAAATCATTAAAAGATGAAATTGCAAACGGCTAGTTTGATATTTGAGGTACTGGAAGAGATAAAAATTATCATTTTTTATCATTATCATACAATTTTTGTGTTATCATTTTTTAATCTTCAAATAATAATATGTGGAGTAGCTGTGAATAAGTCTATCATTTATTTAATTTTGTTTTCAATTCAAATAATCGTAAAAGGAAAAAAATTTGCCGCCGATAAAAATGGACTAATCAGGTAAGCCATTAACCATTTTTGAAAAGTGAACGGAAACGGATTTAATATTCCGGAAATATGAATCGCAAGTTTGAATTTGAAGCACTGAAATAAATTATTTTCTCGCTTTGCAATTTTCAATTAATGATATTCGAATAATTGCAATTGAAGTTATTCGATTTTTTTAATTTTTTTCGATCCAAACAATCAGTAAACAATTGTGTTTTCTAAAGATAAATAAACATTAACTTAATTTTATCTCAGTGATTAATTTTATCTTGAATAATTGATAAGTAACCTCAGAACTAAGTAGTAAGTCAATAGAGTAAGAGAATTCAATAAGTTTTGGTTTTAAAATTAAAAGAATGCAAAATTTCATTTTTGTAGAACAACCAATTCTATAGCTATTGAATTTAGTGCTAAATTCTCACACATTTGCTAATTTCAATTATTACCAATAAATTCGAGAAAATTTTGAAGTAAATTTAAAACCTATTTTTAATGACTTTTGTCAAATAATGTATATTTAGATATACATTTAAATCAATAAAAGTTCAATGAAAGTAATTTAAATGTAAATTAATGATAGATTAACTAAATTTGTTCATTAGTTAGCATTAAAGATTGTAACAAATTTGCGAATATGTTAAAATAAGATTAAAGTGAAATTAAGGTTATTGACAAAAGTTAGGTTTGAATGAGTAATGGAATAGTAAAGTTTTAATTGTAATTATATTTGTTTATAAAAAAAAAAATATATTTAAGCTTGTGCTGTTATGAATGTAATCATGCATTTATTATTGATAGCAATTGTCCACAGTGATAAGCGATAGTGATAATCACAAAGTTATTTGCTGCTCGAAACATTATAAATTAATTGCTATGATTTATTAATTAACTTTCCTTCGTATACTTTAACAATAACAAGTACTTTTTCAGTAATGATTTTCATATTAAGCAGCTAATTAATTTAATTAAGTAAATTAGAAAAGTTTAAATTTTAAATTGACATTTTAAATATGAAAGATGTATGACAGAGTCAGATGGTTTTAAATCTAATATTATGGAACGAGGTACAGAAATATTTTTGGTTTTATTGTTAGTTTTTATCTATTCAGCATTTTACTGCTTGATTTTGCGTCGCAGCTAATGGCAGGTAGCAGTAGATGATAACAGGTTGTGCAGGTGGTGATAAGTGGTAGCAAGTGAGCAAGTGACAACAAGTGACAGTACGTGATGCCGAGTGATAAGTGATAGCAACTGGTGACAAGTGGTAGAAAGTGGCTACTACCTGATAACACGGTAACTCAATCACTTACTAACTCGGTTGGGTTCACTCTAGCATGTGCTAGAAAACAATGAGCATAAAAGTGACAACAGGTAGTAAGTGATATCAGCAGGTGATAGCTATCGACTGATCAATCATTTGCACACGATGGTTCGAACAGAAAGAAATATCAGCATTGGTAGCACTGAAAATGATTTTAGGATTGGAATTCATCATATTTTAGGTTTAACTTTAAAACCTAAAAGAATTCATCGTATTAATGGCATTAGTTGCTATCTGCTATCATTTGCTACCACCTGTCACCACTTGACACCATCTTTCATCACTTACCACCACTTCCTACCACCTGAAGCTACCTGTCACTACCTGCTGCTACTTCTTATCACAGTACTTGTTACCACCAGTCACTCATGTGCAAGTAAGTGGTAGCAAGTGATAAAGGTTTTACAAATTTCTCTCGATTAATTACTTCGTTGTTGTTGAGAACATGTAAATGCTAAGTCATAAATTAAGTTTTCACTACACTTTAGTTTCGTACCATATTTCAACAGATTTAATTAAAATACCTGCTATCAAGTGGTAGCAAGTAGCAGCAGATGGTACTAGATGATAGGAATTAGTAGTAGGCGATTGTAGATGGTAGGAGGTGGTAGTAGGTAATCACAAAAGACTTGATGGGACATCCCGATTAGAGGATATTCCGGAATAACTTAGAATAGGGTTGCAAATAACGCAACCGGAGACGTAAACGGAAGGAAATATCAACGTTGGTAATTTATAATTTTACTAAAAGTGAAAATGATCACACGATATTTTAGGTTTAATTTTAAAAGCTAAAGGACTTCATCGCATTAATGGAATTCACTACTTGTCATTTGCTATACACTCTGCTACCGCTTGTCACCAGTTGCTACCACCTACCGCCATTTGCTATCACTCGTTGTCACCTGACAAACATGTCAGCACTTTCTGCTACCTTCAACTACTTGCCACCGCCTGCCACCAATTTCTACCATTAGCTAGTACCTCATATGCTTCAACAATAACAAATATCTTAAAAACAAATCGTTACTTCCGTACTGTCAAGTAAATGACAAGATTTTAAATTTTAAACTGACATTTCAAATATGAAACGGAACTTTAAGGATGTATGGTAGAATTATATTGCAGCAAATCTAATATGGTAGAATGAGGTGTAGAGATACTTTCTGATTTCATTGCTTACGTTATGAAGATTGAATTATGGAAGGTGGTAACAGGTAGCAACAAGTGACACCAAGTGGTGACATGTCATAGTAACAATGGATTATTGGCAAACTCAAAATGAATATTTTAAATAAATTTTGAAAAATATAATCAACGAAGTTAGGTCAGTGTATTTCACGTAGCTATTCAGCATTTTATTGTTTCATTTCTGTTCGCTAACAATTTCAAATGAAAAACATAAGAAATTTGGTTAGGTCTATGGTTCAAAATTTTATTTAAAAAAAAATTTAATTTAAAAATTTTTTTCAAAAAATTCACTAGCGTGGAGGTAAAGTTGTAATTTTCATTTGTCTGTGTGAAAAATTTGTTTGAAATAATTGCACAAATTTGATGAAAAGGTTTTTGGCATTGTAAACTTTGACAATTTTAATATTTGTTCAATGTGACGTGCTTCACGTGTTTAAATTACTTTGAAAAGTGTATAGGAATTGCAGCAAAGATGAAAGTGATAATGACGTAAATTAAAATTATTTTTATGCTAACTTAAAATTAATGAATTAACAACAAGCAAAAATCAGCTTATATCATTGAATGCTGACCTATTTATTATGCATATTTTGAATTAAATTATCGGAGCGAAGTAAACACGTTTTTCACGTGCTTCCACCGTCATACAGTACTGATGAAGGAATGGTAATCCGAGCATAACTTCCTGCTCAAAACCTTTAAAGCTTCGGAATGCAAGTTCACATTGCTTATCATTCGGCTGCAATATCAAATTCACAATTTACTTTTCCGGAAATCATTGATAAAAAAGTTTTTTAGATTATTTTGGAAATGATATATTAAAGAAAAGACTGCAAGAACTACTAATAATGAAGTACTAAATATCTTTAGATCAAAATTCATTCAATCATCGAAAAATTAATAATAATAATTGATTGATTGATTGATTGATTCAATTTTGTAGGACTGAACTGTTACATTGATAAAATTAATAAATTTATCACTTTATATTCAAAATATTTTATTAAATTAAATTAAAAAAAAAGACTTACATTATGTTTGATAATAAAATTTTTTGGCTCAATGATGTATTTGTTTTCAGCGGTGAAAATTTCAAATGGATTAAATGATTGTTCACAATCTACCAAATATTTTCCTGTTCTTATATCCGCCTGAAATATTTTCATAAATGAAAAAAAAAAGGAAAAAAAAATGTGACATTTAATGAATGAAACAAAAAATTTAATTAGTGAAAATTTTACGTGAAAACGTGACCTGTGCACCGAGATCGTAAGCAATTTTTTTCATAAATTCATCTGGGACAGTGATATATGGATCCATTGTATTTGGATAAGTAAGCGTAATGCCTAATTTCACAAACTCCGTATAACCCATTTTAACGGCCAGAAATTCGAAATTATAACGATTTCCGAGAAAGTAAAGTGGTTCATACTTTTCATTGCTCAAATCGCATGACTTACTGTTACGTCCGCCAAGCGTTAATGTCGCTGTCTTATCAGATTCCTACATTTTGATTAAATATTAGCATTCGGGAACGATACAGTAATGTGTTCAATTAATTCTAATTCATGGTGAATTTTTGAAAATTTTCAAAACAAATGGACGAAATATTGTTATGCGCTAATTGTAAATTTCTCGAGAATTTAGACAACCATTAGGTAAGGAATTTATCAAAAATTTTGATCTAATTTCTTATTCAAATTTTGGACAAAATTTAGAAATTATAATCGAAATAGTTTTGTTTTTCTTGTTCCATAAATTTTATTCTAATAAAGTTTTTTCAACTTTTCAACTTTAAAAAAAAAAAAAAAGAAGTATTCCTTTATTGCCTGTGATAATGCTATAGTGATAAGAGGAGGGAATTGATTCATTCGGATCATCATTTTAAGAGGATTGACATCTTTGTCTAGAAGCGGAAAAATGCCAAAGACGCCTTCCAATAAGCGATCAGTGTGCAATGCTGATAAACCAAATATTCCATCAATTTCTTGATAATTTTCCCATTCAGGCCAATTTAAGAGGCACAGCGTACCGAATGGTGAATTTAATAAATTTACGCTTTTTCCATCTGATGTATGAATCTTTAAAAAAAAAATTAGAGTTATCTTGATTATCAGGAAGTACTATTATTTTCTCATTCACTTTTGAAATTTTATCACTAAATAATTTGATTGCTAATTAGAGTAAAATTAATTATTGATTATAACAAAATCAATTTTTTTTTTTTTGTATTTTTGATTAGTAAGTAGTAAAGTAAGTAAAAGAAATACCATAATATCATCATTCCAACTCCATAAATTAACTCCTCTTAGCCCATAACATTGTGCCAAAGTGGTATACAATGTTGTAGTACATGAAGTTGAATCAGATTTTGAATAAAATTTTTTATCGTAGCAGAATGGATGTCTATAATTTAGCAAAGGTATTCTAAGAAAAGAACTCTTAATTAATAAAACATTTAAAATTTAAAGAAAAAAAAAAAAACTCTATCACACTTAAATATTAGTTATGATAAATATTTTCTGCAAAGTATGATTTATTTTAAAAAAAAAAAATAATAATTTATTTCTATATGTAGAAAAAAAAAAATTATTTACTTCTAAATATATGAAAGGAAAAAAAAAAGAAAAAAAAACCGGAAAAATGAAACATACACGCGATCAGTTCCAGGAATCCAAAGAAGTGATGTTAAGGTATCCAAAAGGACACGGAATTCTTTTCCCGGTTTACCAATATTCACATTTAAAGCATATCCGGTACGCTGCTAAATAAAATGATAAGGTGAAGTGAAATATTTAAATGAATGAGAAATTCCCTGTAATTGAAAAAAGAAAAACTAATTTTAATTAGTTTTGATAAGAAATAAATATTGATGAAATAATTAATTAACTAACATACCTTTAATTTGTCATACACAGGATACAGGTTAATTTGGTGCTCAGCAAATAAAGGTATTACTAGAAGAGTACAGAGGAAAATAGTTAGTTTCATTACTGTATCACTTAACTTCCCTTAAAAGATTGAATTAAAAAAGGTTAAAGGTCAAAGGTATGAAAAAAATTCGTAATTTTTAAATAATTTAAAAGATGAAAAGAATTCTTGAATGTATCACTCACTCAGTATGCAAAAGTTTTTGATAAGATATTATTTCTACAACGAACAAATTTTAATTATTCCGAAAACTTTTTTTTTTCTTTTTTTGGCTTATTAAACTATTTTTTAAAAGTTTGAATTTATTACTTAAATTGTAATTGAAAGATAACTATTGGATAGAATATTTTGCATATTCTAAATCCACTAGGCTATTCTCGAAAGATTTATTTTTTAAATATATATCTTTTTTTTTTGTCAAAACTTTAAAGTTAAAGATTTTATGTTTATTCCAAACTTTTATAAATTTTTAATTTTGTCACCAATTTTTTGTTGGATTTATCATCTAAGAAAGAATTGTCATTCTTAATTATGAATTCAAATACAAAAAATTAGCAGAAATGATAATTTTTCAAGCTTAATTTTGAATTTATTAATTAGCACCAATTTCTTGTAATTTTTTTTTTCCGGAAATTATAAAAAATGATTCAAAGGAAACGGAAAACATTTTGATAATTCTGTCTAATATAATAATGCATATTATTATTTGATAAAGAAAGGAATCCGACGGGAATTTACAACTGAGGTAGGAAATGAATTAAATTTTTTCACCACCACAGGTTGTAATTTTCTGGACAAAATTCTGGTAGCAATTCGTGGTTGATTTGAGGACACTGAATTATGACTTGAATTGAAGTCTCGAATTACAATCCCGTTTATATAATGATTATTTCTCAGCTATTTTATTGAACAAATTGAATATTACTGAAGGATTAATATGTCTGCGATCTTTGATATTAATTAGCATTTTAGTCTGGCAAATGATTATTTTCAAAAATGATAATTTCAGTTGGATTGCAGTACAACAATAGAAATTCATTCTGTAAATTTATCACCTGTTGTTAATGTTCTTAAAATGATAAAAAATTGAAAGCTTCTAATTTTGTTATACCATCAAATTGACAATCATTTTGTTATCAATTAAATCATTCTTCAAAAGAAGAAACTTCAAATTAAGTAAGTAAGTAATAGAGTTGTTTCAAAGATTTGTAAAGTTGGTATTTGCTAATTTATCACATAGCATTGATTAGTGAAATTTGAAATTGATAAAAGTTAAATAATCAAAGCATTGAATTAATATTCTTTTGATCAATTCTCTTTTTTTTTTGGAATTATAAATTTTTCTATTAATTGATAATTTAAAAAAAAAAAAAAATCATTTTGAATTATATTTTGATGTCTTTTATGATTTCAACGTTTTGTTTTTTTTTTAAATTAAGTTTCAATAATAAAAGTTAAATAATCAAAATGTTGAATTGAAATCGTTAAAATTAATATTCTTCTGATCAATTCCTTTTTTTTTTTTTTGGGGGGGTGGGGGTTATAAATTTTTCTATTAATTGATAATTTAAAAAAAAAATATCATTTTGAATTATATTTCGATGCTTTTTAGGATTTCAACGTCTTGTTATTTTTAAACTTCTCTGGAATAAATATAACTTTACTTTTTGTTTCTTGTTTTTTTCCATATATTGATTTTTTTGCTATCAAATTAAAAACCTTCAAAAAAAGTTGTTTACAGGTTTTCAACTCTTTGATCATTGCAATAACTTTATGATATCAAACTGCAAAAAACATACTTCAATGTTTGCAACAAATAAAAAAGTTTTTTTTTTCCTCTTTTATTACCATTTCAAATAATAAAATAACAAAAAGTTATTTGGTTACAAAGTTAAGAAATGTTTATAAATTTTTTTTCAGTTGTAAATATTTCATTAAATTTTTTTTTTTTTATATTCAGTATTATTTGTTTTTTTACATTTGCTATTATTTTCTGGTCAATTCATATTACAAGTAAAGTAGAAAGAGAAATTTTGATAGTAATAATTAAATAAATTAGTGTTTTTAGAAAGATAAAAATAAAAAACTTTGGACTAAAAAATTTTTTTCTTTTTGATTAAATTTAAAATTAAAAGAAAAAAAAAAAAAGATATCTGGGGAAGATATTTTATATTGAATATTTAATATTTGCTCATCAATTCAATGTGAAATTTAATTTCAATTTAAAGATTAGTTTTTCCACAGTTCTTAAATTGCCATAAAATTCCATTGTAACTCGTATTATTGTCAAATTTAAAATTTGAGTTTAGTTTGATAAATAAACCAGAAAATATTTTTATGTAATTATTTCATGAAAAAATAATTTTGCTCCAAGATTGACAGATTTGTCGATGAATTTGAGCAAATGTTTAATAGCGCATAAAACTAAAATGATTTGAAAATTTTCAATGACAATAAGAATGTCACACTGATGAGTAATACGTGACGTAATCCAGCTTATAAAAAAATTATTGCTAATGACATTAGCGCCGTATCATTGCGCTAGCTCCATTGTATTCATTTGATTGAAAGTATTCAAATAATACTAATACTAAAATCTAAAATCAAATTTTGTAAATTTTGTTCCATTTCAATTTGAAGTAAAAAAAAGAAAGAAATACTCTAAAATACACACCTAAATGATATCATTAATGCATTTTTATATTTACACTTTTTTTTTTGTTTATTTGTTTATTTATTTTAATTGATGTTTTGTTTATGTTTTTTATACCATCCAATGCATATATTTCTATTGGTTTATTTGTTTGTTTTTACTTAACTTTTTTTTTTTTTCTTGAAATTATATGACAAATGGACTTGTTATTATATTAAAGCGATTGAATTGTATACAAATTTATCGATTTTTCATTATTTTAATTTAAGTGAAATAATTATTCAAAATTTTATCGGTTTGATTTAGATGAAACGTTTCATGAGATGCGTTATATTCGAAATGCTAATTACTTTGTTGTTAATCGATGATAGCGTTGCCAATGAAAGTAAACGAAACGAAGAGATAAAGTAAGTAAAAGTTATTTTCAAATGATTTTTGCGATTAATTCATAGAAATAAATAGAATTAATTTAATTAATTAACTGATGAACAAGAATAGTGAAAATAGATAATGAATGAGATGCTTAATTAGCTAAAATGCTGTCGATTAACTGAACTTTTCCGGAATTGTATTTCAGGATTCGAGCGAAACGACAATTTCTAAGTTACGGTAGTTTTGGAGGATTTTCTGCATTTCCGTTCTTCAACATGGGTTGGGGTTATGGCGAAGGTATTTCGAGATGGGAAAGTCCATGGATGTGGCAAAGTGTTTGGAGTTATAGTCCACCTTGGGGTTGTGTATTTTGTTGGTAATTGAAAGGTCATCTGAATTGAAAGTAACTGAAAGGTCATCTAAATCAGACTTTGACTTATACTTATCAATGTGACTGACTCATTTTACTTTACTTAAATGTATTGTTTCGATTAATTGCTTTGTCTTTTCATTGTAATTGCTAAAAAATTTACTGAACTTCAATTTCAAACTTGAATTTTATAAAATTGGCGCAGAATCGATCATTGATTCACAAATATTTATCAAAATGAAAATGTATGTGTGTGAACAAGTTCTTAGCAAATTAATTGTAAACAAATATATTCTTATCAGTTCACCTTTTAAAATTTAGAAATTACGTCATATCTTATACATATAATTATTTTAAAAATATTTTTTCGTATTTCATTTTGCTGAAATAATTCGCTTTCTGTTCGTTATGATCGATACAAAATCATAGGATTGTAAAGAATTTGTATATTTTATTATTTGTTGGAATTTAAATGAAAGAAAGGAAAGAGCTAAATTGACTAAAGATTAAGCTAAATGAATAAAATTAAAAAAAAAAAAAAAAAAAAAAAGCTAATAAAATGTTAACAAAGAAGCAGAAAATTTTTAAATTATATTACTTTTGAATTGAAATATTTCAAATTTGCTGCTACATTAACGTTTTTACTGCAATGAAACAATAAAAGTTTGAGCTAAATAATCGTTGCTTAATTAAAATATTACTAAATGAATTACTTAAAATTTACTTATGACAATTTGAATGTCAATTTCTCGAACTGAAAAGAGCGCCTAAATGTCATAAAGGTCAAATGATCATAATTTTTTTTTTCTTTTTTGTAGAATTTGATCTAATTCAAATTAATGAAAGAAAAATTTTCAGATGTCCTCCAAAACACTGTCACATATTCTTGTCATTATCATACTTTCTATAAATCTGATGTTATTGTCGTGTTATAAAATATCTAATGCTAATACAATAAGGTTATAATTTAAATTTTTCCCATGCAAAATTTCAATTTATTTTTTCTTCAAATATTGATAGAAATAATAAAATTAAGTATTACTTTATTATGCTTCAAGTTTACTCATTTTTTCTAGCAAACGAAATAAGCGGCAATTTCACGGCGGTAGTGATTTTGGCTTCATATCCGTTCCATTCTTCAACTATGCCTGGGGTAGACATTATAATGGATGGCCTGGTCCCTATGGCTGGGGAATGCCATGGCATTCATTTGGGCCTCGTTACGGAGTAAGGCGACGTTTCTGGCGAAGGCGTTGGGAAAGTTGGGGTGGATTTCATGACGGTTTCGGATTTCATGGCGGTTTCGGGGGACCATGGTTTGGTTAATAAATGCTATGTAATCGATTTCCTGAAAATTGGAATTCAAAATGATACGGAATTATTGCGACGTATATATTATAGTACAATATATGATCGTTTGTGTAGAAACTTTTAAAAATTTTAAAGTAACAAACGAATATGATTAAATGTTTAAAATATGAAATAAAATATTTACATTTGAATAGTTTTTCAATTGCTAAACTGATATTATTGACGTGATGACAATCAAAAGTCTTAAAGTGATATCATTTGAAGTTGTTTAAATGGCTAAATGACATAAAAGATCATATTATTATCACTGTTATCAGTTTATCATCAAGTTATGATAGATGAAAATATGTTATGATGGATAAGAAACTATGATATGGCACGGAAACCTGATTTATTTATTTATTTTATTTCGTTTTATTGTCAAAGGAATGCATTAAATTTCAATGCTTGCATAGCTATGAAAAATGAAGAAATTGAAAAAGTTTGAAAATTTATTAAATAACAAGTTATTTACTGAATGTATAAATAATATCCTTCAAATAAATGCAAAGCAAACATTGTCATTTGGCTAATCTTTTTCCGTTTGATCGCACCGAAATATTCGAAAAGGTAAATTATACTTTATAAGAAATTATTTGTTTACTTAATGAATTAATAATTACATACTTATATTTTTGTAAGTTTATTTTTTTGATTGTGAGAATAATAAAGTTTTAAATTGATATAATCAATGCAAAAGGTTTAAAAATGGTTTTAAATTAAATTTTTTAATTTATTTTTGATGGAACAATATTTGATCTAATATTTTATCATAAATTATACTATTAAGTCAGAGAAAAATAGCACAATGCAATGATAAGTGATAATAATAATATTTAATTAGCTCTGCTAATGATCACTTTGTTTTAAGCTGAAATTTTAATTTGAATTGAATAAATTCTCGACCATAGTACTTTCTGATAACTCTGATGCTATTCTGAACTGATAATCTTATCAGTAATTATAACTGTTATCTCAGATGGTTCAATGCTGCAAATGGATCGTCCATCTGTTGATCGCCTTCAATTTGCTAATTTGCTTAGAAGAAGCTAATGCAACCGAAATTCGAGAAAGCGAAATTTACCGGTGAAACTTTTCGTCTAATTCTCTTTCCATTTGAACTTTTAAATTACGTAAATGTCAAATATTCAAAAAGTGTTTTTAAAAAATAATTGTTCTTTCTTTAGAAGTTAGAATAATTTAGTGCCAAAGAAGTAAGAAGGAAAAAAAGGAATGAATGAAAGTTAGCATTTAAAATTTTATTTTTAATAATCGATTTTAGTCGCTTCAATTACATCAATAAAAGTTGAATTGAATTTAAACTTGTATTTCATTAATTTTAATTTAAATTCATCTCGATAACCTCATTCTCGCTATCTTACCTTCATTTTATCTCTTTCGTTTATCGATTAAAAAAATTATTTAATTACAGGTTTTACGCGTACTTACACGTTTAATCTTGCAGACCACGTTTTAAGCGACAATTTTTTGGTTTCTCGATAGGTCCATTCGGTTGGTTTCAGGGAGGAGGAAGATATGGAAGAAAATATGGATTTAATCGTTTCCTAAGTCCACGTCCTTTGGTTGCCAGACGATTTTGGCGTAGACGTTTCGGCAGAATTGGTGACAGATGGTGGTGGTAATCTGTGATATTAAATGTTCTGTGGTTGGAATATTGTCAGATAGTATTTGACAAGGATCTTTTTTAACTTTTTTTTTTTTCTTTATGATTTCCATTTTATTAATTTTTAAATTTCAATTCATAATGCTTTACAAAATTATCATTTGTTATTAACTATTACTATATCCTTACTTATTAATCATAATATTGTCAAAATTCATTAAGTTATGCATTCTTAACTGATAATTCTTATCAGTTATCATCAAGTAAGTAAAACTTTTTAATTTATTCCATCTAAATTTGCATAATTTAATTCCGTATCTTTGTATTGTGCAAATATAAAGTAGCAAAAGTTTCATATAATGTGTTCCTTGGATTCAAATATTTTTTTTTTTTTTTTTTTTGATAAAAGATTTTGATTTTATTATATTTAAGTCAAACTTTGATAATTTCGATTTTTTTTTTTTTCTAACATAACTGATTTTATGTTTTTGACTTATTTTAAAAAGTGTAGTAGGAAGTGAAATGATAAGGATTGTTTTATCAGTGCTTTGCAATATGATAATTACTTTTTTTTTTGATAAAAAATGAATACAAGTTAAATAATTATTTAATATATTTATTCTACAAGGATAAATTTTTGTAAACAGCAAATGATAATTTTATTTTCTTTTAATTTAACTTTTATCAAATTTAACTTTCAATATTTTTTTAAGTATTGCTGGCATGACAATGCTTAAACTGAAAACTTTTTCTTTTCTTTTATTTTAAAACTTTTTTTCTCAGCTATTTCATCTTAGAAATTACAAAAAAAAAATTTTTTTTTTCTTCGAAAAAAGTAAATTTCATTACAATTTAAATTGGTTTGTATTTTCTTTTAATTGAGATAGCAAAATCTTTAAGTTCAATATTAAAGTATGATGGGAAGAATTTTAGCATTTTTTATTTAAAAATTTTTTTTTCAGTTTTATCATCAAATGCTTTTCTCATTATCAATTGGACCACATTTTTTCACTAATTAATTTAATAACAAAAAGCAAATTTGTTTGGTATTTATGTCAAATAGAACAGAAATATGAAAAAAAAAGTTATGAAAATATGAGATAATGCAATAAATGATGAAATGAAATTAATATCCAAAATAATTTAATTAATTTCTGAAAATAATTATTTATTCATATGATCAAATGAAATTAATATCCAAAATAATTTAATTAATTTCTGATAATAATTATTCATTCATATGATCAAATGAAATTAATATCCAAAATAATTTAATTAATTTCTGAAAATAATTATTTATTCATATGATCAAATGAAATTAATATCCAAAATAATTTAATTAATTTCTGATAATAATTATTTAGTAACAAATAAATCATTTGTTATTATTACGACAGTAATTTCATTGCAATTACACATTTTAGAAGCAGCAATAGTGATAATTTGAGTGATAAAAATTGATATCTTATCATTCATATTTCATTTTGAGTAATATCAATAAATCTGACATTTATCAAATCAAATTTATCAATTTGTTATTATCGTTTAAAACGTACGAAAATTAAATGTATGAAAAGTTTTAAAAATATAAAAGTTTGAAAAAATTTTGCAAAATTTTTCAAAATGTTTTCACTTTTGAAGTGAAAATTTATTTTAGTAAACAAATTTATTTCACATAAATTTCTTTCAAAATTTTCCCTCTTTTTTCTTTTTCCTTCAATCCATTGATGTTTAAAACAAATATTATTTATAGTTTTAGAGATATTTTTAAAATTACCATTGTTTATTGTCAAAAAAAAAAAATGAAATTTAAATTTAAATTTAAATATTCAAACATAAGAAGAAAAAGAAAAAAAATTGAAATCTTTTTAAACGATCGCTGCCAGTTCAAAATGAAAAAAAAAAAAGGAAAAAGCTAAATGAACAAAAGCTATCAATTAACTAACATTTCACAAAATGACACTTTTTTGAATTACAAATTCGATGCATCGGAAATTTTCCTTTTTTTTTTTTGCCGATAATTGTCAGAGATATGTAATCGTCGATGGCAATTATCAACTGACAAAGTGCTATAATTTCTTGTTCTGTTTTCCGATAATAGCCAATCCGGTTTGAAATTTAATTTAACTTAGACAGACAGACAAATTCTCATGGTCAAATAAAATAGTAGTGTATTAAATTTGCATAAATTTCATAAATTTTATTCCTACTTCATCGAATTTTAAACATTTTTAAATTTTCTAAAAAGATTTATTTGTTCAAAAAATTACACTTCATAAAATTTTAAAGATTTATTTGTTCAAAAATTTACACTTCATAAAATTTTAAAGATTTATTTTTTTTTAAAAAATTTTGATATAAAAAAAAAAGTTTTTCACAAACTTTTAAAATTATAATAATGGAAGAATTAAAAAAAAAAAAAAGAAAAAAAGAAAAGAGAGAAATATTTGTTTTGAATTTTAATTTGTTATAAATACATTTGAAGGTCATTTCAATTTCTAATCATTTTTAAGTTAAATTGCTTATCGTTAACTTTGTGTATGATTTAGCTTATTTACTTATTTAAATTATTATTTATTTCGTTCAATTATTTATTTATGCTTACTCATCACAAATCACAAAATTGTTTACATATATTTATTTAACATAAAATGATGAATCAAATCAAATTTTTGCTTTTCTTTTTTTTAAAAAAGTATTTTTTACATTTATTCTTCAAATTTTTAGTTTTTTCAAATAATAATTGTCATAGTGATATTATTGGATGTTTTCGTCATTTTTTTTTTTTGAATTTTAAATTTAAATAATTATAGCATTCATGCAGGTGTTTTATTGACTATTAATTCGCTTCTATTTCAGTTGGAGAAAAGATTTTCGTTTTTTAAGATTTTTTTTTTACACTAAGGTAAATTTGCATAAATTAAGATTTACTCATTACTCATTTATTAAATACTAAAAACAAAAAGTGTAAAATGATAGTAGAGAGAGAGAGAGAGAGAGGGAGAGGAAAGAAAGCAGAAAAAAAACGAAAAAATTTATTTCCGGTCAATTTTACTGGATGACAAATATTTAGCTATGTTAATGAATGAATTAAAATAATTAATAAATGCATCAAAATGAAATGATTAAAATATATTTAGTGATAAATTATAAGTAATACTATCGATAAATTGCTAAATTATCAGTAATATCTGAAATAGTTAGTCGATGCAAATAATTCCTTTGTAATTATGCTAATAGCAAAGTAATATTTTATCGCTGTGTAACATTTGTGTAAATAGTAAACAATAAGGATGCACTGATCAATATATTTAATAAAAGAATTAAATGTATATGTTTTGTTCATATTTTCATCAAAAAAAATTTTAAATTTACTAAAATTTTTTTCTAAATTATATTTTCATTTATAATTCATATTTTTTTCTTTAAAAAAAAAGTGCTATATTAAAATGCTAAAGTATTAATTTTATATTATAATAGTAATGCTACTAATAACGATTATTTAATAATACTAAATTTATTAAAATACATTCGATAACATAATAATTAATAATATTTCAATAACGATTAATTTTTAATCAAAAAAAAACTATATTTCTAATCAGATAAATTAATCAATTAATTTTTTTTTTTTTTTTTTTAGTAATAATCAGTTTTTTATAATAATCAGACAAATTGTTCTCAAAAAATAAAAATAGCTAGATTAATTAAAATTATTATTATAAAAATCATATCATACAAATCAATAAATCAATTGAAGATGAAAAAAAAAAATGAAAAATAAAATAAAATTTTACAAATGATTTTTAATTTTTTATAATCAAAAATAAATTCTTAAAATCTCATTGATAGTATTTTAGTTATAAGCTATATTTCAATTCAATTATCAATTAAATTATCACAATCGATTCGTCTTATCATATTTGGAAGTAATCGATTCCTTCTTTTCCATTCTTATAATTATCATATCATTCTACATTATAATTATCATATCATTTTATCAACAAAGAATCAACTAGCAAAAATACCATTTATATGAATCATCGTTAATGAGAATGAATCTTTTGTAAGAAAATTTGATGGAATCAATTTGTCACAGTTAATGTCACCACTTACATTTAATTTTAATTCACTTGTGGAATTCAAAACAACAACAACTAAGCATTTCAAAAAATTTCATTTCATACTATCATTTTTTATTTATTTGTTTGTTATTTATGTTTTATATTTATTATTATGTAGTGGTTTAGCATTTAATACAATTGCAAATAAGAGATATTTTTCAAAATTTTATTAAAGCTTAATAAAATGCAAATGCATTTTCAAAGAAAAATAATAAAAACATTGAAAACAATGCTTTCTTTCCTTATCATAAGTTAAAATTTAAAAAACAAAAAAACATTTATTGTTAATTTTTTTTTGAAAAAAAAAACTTTGTAATTATGAATTAGTGAAATGGAGGAAAAAAAGAAAGATAATAAATTATGTTTTGTTGAAGATTTTGATTAAAATTCCATTGTTTTTTTTTGTTAGAAAAGAACAGACGAAAACAAAGGGAAAGAAATATAACATTTAAAAAATTAATTCTTCTTTCTGTTTTTCATTTTTTTTTTTTTTTTTTTTGTAAATTAAACTTTAAAATTATATTTTAATTTTATAAAATTACTAAAATTGAAACTTTTCTATACTGCGTCAAATTATCTTTCTTTTTTCAATAAAATTCACCTGGAAAATGTGAAAATTGGATTATTTCGATATTAATATTTGCAACTTTTAGAATAAATTTAAATTTTATAGCATTGCGTTACTTTCATTAATTCATTTAGTCATAAAATTTATTCAATTGCAAAAACGAAGACACAAATTTTTGCATAAAGTTGTAAACAACAAATAATTTTTAAATGATTAGAAACGATTAATTGCTTTTATGTTATTCGCAAGGTTATTATTTGCATATATTAATTGGAAAATGATAGTTGGACAAAGTGTTATTTGTTTACTAATATTTTTACTACCTAA